GATCAATTGTATTGGTTTTGAATTGATAGAAGTAAGAATGATTAGAAGGTGTGTGTGTGTTCACGTAAAATAAGATTCACTCTAATAGCTTTGTGGAAAGGGACTTTGCAGAACGGAAGGCTTCTTGTAATGTATGGGTCATCATTTCCTTTAACCTTATTAGTTGATATTAAAAGTTTCAGTTGCTATTAAGCAGTTCGTCGGATGTTTTATTTGTTTGCAACCCGTGACAGCATAGTGCTCTGCTGCGCATACTTTACATTAAATTTTATCTCTACTCCCCATCGAAGGGTTTATAATGTTGTAAAGAACCAAAACTCCTACGTATTTTCCTTATAGGATGTCGCAGCAAAAAAAATGTATATTTCTTAGTCGACCGATACTGATTGGCGAATACCTTATCTCACTTTTTCACATATATCTTTTTCATCATCATGACACATCAAAAGTTATACTTTATTGCCATATGCAGATAATGCAGGGATCCATATAATAGGCCTATGTAGTGTAAATTGACTGCAACGTGGTTATGTACATGTGCCAAATCATTGTTATGCATTAATTTTTATTAAGAAATAAAAAACTATACCTCTTTGCCATGAACATTGTCAAAAGAATGCTTAATAAAGGCACTTATGTGGCAGTGGATACAAAAAAGAGACCTATCTCGTTGAAGCCTTACAAATTCGTTTAGTAAGTCAAAACATTATTGTTTTTTCTTTTTTGAGAAAAATTAGATATTAAAATTTCTTTCATATATGTACCAACTTTTTCAAACACGTTGTAATGATTCGATCCAGTTCGTTTTGAATATTATTATTATTATTATTATTAATTTCGCCAGAGAAATAAATTCTAAGACTAAACTCTTAAAAGCGCTAGCATCTAAGGCTATCGGCTTTTTATTAAAAACTCTACCGCACTTGAGATTCGAACCCACGACCATTGACTTGCTAGTCGAGATTCCTCCCCTTCGGCTACTCAGGCGGATCGTTTTGAATAACCCGCATCTTTGTATAGAAATGTGTAAACATTAGGCAAAAAGGCTGGACAGACGGACAGACAGATTAAAATGGATTCAAAGAACGATCCTGAATCGACAGATGGATTTAGCTAAAGGTCTTCTGGGCGCTACATACATTATGAGGTAGAGTTTCCTATAAGGCCGATAGCCTTAGAAATAAGTTCTTTAAGATTTTAATCTTAAAACTGATTTTCTTTGGCTAAATTCATTACAATAATAATAATAATAATAGTAATAATTAAAATTGATGATGATAATGAATAGTTAACTCTTTATATGTATGAAAAAATGTTTCAACTTTCGCTTGCACGACAAAAACATTTGGAATAAGATTAAACGATGAGAAGAAAAATCTTGTCTTTTCAACTTTGCGTTGCAATAGATGCATACCTGTTCACTAGCGAAATAGAATTAGGTAAAGAGTTAAAAAGCAAAACTTCCTAACGCATAGATATACAAACATATGCTGTGTCCATCTGCCCATTCTCAAGTTGTACGCCATCATAATTAAATTATATGGATAAGATGTTTTAGAATATGGATGTGCAATAAGTGAGTTATGTAGTAGGCTTTCATAAAAAAAACGGCATTTAAATTATTTCACGAGTTATATCCTGCAAAATTTGCTGTACAAGGGCACATTAAGTTTTGTGTGAATGTATGCAACATCCAGAATAATTTGCGATATATGTACCTTTTACCATACCGTTCTTACCGAAAGTTGTCAATATGTCCGCCCATCTGTATGCGTGATATTTTGTTGTGTTGCATCTACAGGTCAATTTTTTTGAGATATTTGGATGTAGTTTGGTTTACCATCGATGTGGTTTTGCTCCAAGGCGTATATGTTTTTCGAACATTTGCGGTATAATGTCTTAGCTTGGAAACTCAAATAAGTTACCCGAATAGAGCAAAGTGAAGTAGAGTAGTTAATGGTGAACCGCGATTCACTATAATGTTTCTCTCTCGAAAAGAACATCAAAAATAATGAGAATAATTTACAAAGCTCACTTGGATTGCTCACTGGTTTTTCGAACAAATAAAGATTTATGACAGTTTCGCTAAAATTAGCAGCAATATTTTCCACAAGGTGTTATAATTCTTTTCAAGTTTTCTTCTAAACCTACACCAAGAAATATTCGGCTGAGTGACCGAGTAGGCAAGAGTCTCGACTAGCAATTCAATGGTCGTGGGTTCAAACCTCAAGTGCGGTGGAGTTTTTAATAAAGCCGAAGAAAGCCTTAGATGCTAGTGTTTTAAGACTTTAGGCTTTGTAATTTATTCTCTGACTAAATTTATAATAATAATAATAATAATAATACATCAAGAATTAATAAGTTTTTCCACTTAAAACAACAGGAAAATTTCCTTCCCGTTCCTTCCTCTCTTAGGTTATTCGATCTCTGTATTAAGGAATATGGGCAAAAATTGAAAAGAAATTTTCTAATTGACTTTTTCCCTTCTATACCTTTAAGAACATACGCCTGAGCTTATGAATCCAATAGTTGTTTTCAATTGGGCTTTAGAAACTTTTCCTTGCTTGAGATAGAAAAACCTTGCTTTTAGGGAAAACCTCAAACTTTCAACATTGCAGCAGATACTAAATTTGTTAGACATGTTCATGGCATATAGATTATTTTTACTTGTACCATATAAACAAAAGGAGTGCTGTAATTTTTATCCAAAATTTTGTGATGGTTTATAAAACATAGTACATTGCAAGCGACCGCTATTACGTAACAGAAAGAAAAATGGAAAACAAAACAAAAAATCAGAGGATATGAGTTGTAAAAACCTGTACATGTCAGTTGCTCTTTGTAGTGGTAGTTATTTATTATATGCAAACTTGTGTGCACATGTATATGCATAAGTCTACAATGATGTCATAAAAGCTTTACTTTAACCTTTATGTAATTCATAAAACTAAAACATCTAAAAAGGATTTCAGGCATATGCGCACATGTTGCTCATGCATTCTTAACCAATTTTATAAGCTATACACACCCATCCACTTACACACACACACACACACACACACACAAACATCCACCCACCCAACCGCCCACACACACGCACACATATATATATATATATATATATGAACGTGAATATATGCATAGTTACATTAACAATAAATGTATATGGATAGATGAACTTATGGGATGAACGTATTGAAAAATTTATAACTAGATGACCAGTCAGGCCATCTATAGAATATAAATATTTAAAGTGAGTGCAAAGGCACGCAACACATGCGACCAGGTGATGACAGCGCAGCAGTATCAGTTGTAACAAGTAGACAGTAGCGAACAAACTCATGTGTTTTTAAATACAAGGCTTCCTGAGAAGAGACCGCATGCCATATAACGAATTTATAACTTTATTAATATTTATGATAGAGAAATTATGGACAATGTACCGTATATTTCAATGCATGATACGCGTACATTGCCTAACAGAATTTGATTTTCATCAGCTGAGCATGTTGTACCTAAAATTTTCATTTATTTTATAGCAACTTTTTCATTGCAACTCCGGAGCCCGGAAATTCTTTCAATCACCAAAGTAAGCAAATGGATCAATTTACTTTTTCTTCCGAGTAACTGATAAGCAATGTGTACAGATACCCTGCATTACGAATTAATTGCCGAGGATAAAAAAGAGATTGTTTATGTGTTGCTCGATTTATACAAACTATTCAATTATTTTTGCTGACTAAAGTTCTGGTTATATCGATTTGGCGACTAATGGAAAAGTAAAGTATTGCACATTGCTTTGAGGACTTAGATTTTTAGACGTCTATCCGAACGATGACTTTCTTGTTCAATTTTTTTTTCCACAAAATATCGAAAAATTTTATAAAGCTCTTAACAAGTAAAAGATTTTACTCTTAAGAAATTAAAAATCAGTTGTTTATACCCGAGACTATTTGTTGTATAGAGCAAGATGGATTAGATCGGATTCCTATATTACTCGTATAGATTTTTGCCATCCGTTCGTCCCCCCCTGTACGAATTTTTGTGTGCAATCAACAAATAACAATTTTAAAGATATTTTCATGCAATATGGTATCAATATTGATATACTCTAGGTAAGGAATGAACTTCATGGCATATTGAAATTTCAGTTAGATGGGAAAAATTTGCCCTCTTTGACATTTCGCAAGAAAAATTGGGGAAAAACCACACTTTGGCCGATCAGCTGGATGTGAAAAACTTTTGCATGGAATAGAATCATTTTTAGAATCGCCTCTCGTCCATATGCAAATAAGCCCTTTTTAAACTTTATAATAAATAAATCTAGTATGATGAATATTTTTACGTTAATATCTAAAGCTTTTAAGCTAACTTTGGACCACGGTCATCACTCAATTCGTTCGGCGCCCTCTGGTATAAGCTTTTTGATGAAAAGTAAACCTTTAAATGGCATCTAGGGCAAAATACGAAACAATAGTGCAGGATATTTAGAAGTCGACCTTCACTCACTATAGAGTTTTAACTTGTTTCTTTCTAAGACATTTTTTCAGTGATACTCCAACATGACACTAAAGACGATTATCTTAAAGCATAGCTTAATTTTTGTTGAAATGTTGTTGCACGCATTCGTGCAGAGTATTACATAGTGATAACAATGATACATTGACTGCTACTATACTATTTAATTCAGTTTCAAGGCATTCCTTAATTTTATTTATTTTTCTCATTCGATTCATTTGTCTATTTGACTTTAGATAATTTATTCATTCATTATTTTTTCCTCTACTCAATAGGTTCGTTTTTGATTTTTAGAGGAAAAGGGATTAGGAGAAAAGGATATATATATATATATATATATTTTAGAAGATTATAAGGGGAGAAAAATATTGTTTAATTAAAACAAAAGTTAGGATATTACGATACATATATAGAGATAGATACACTTACTTGTGCGCAGATTTGTTGTAGACTTTAAAAGGCTTGAAGCTTGAAAGTAGAAAATGAGTAGAGAAAAGGAATTAGCTATGCTAGGAGAGCGCTATATATCATTCGATAGGCAGGAGATACGAGCAAAAATACTAATGCCTACGTACGCTGAAGCTCGAAGACGAAAGGGCTCAATATACGCTACTTTGATAAAAGAATTGTATGAAGGATATTGTCCTACTACGGCTGGTTATTTTGAAGAAATGGTAATTAAGGAGCAGCAACTATTCGAGAAACAAGCTATTCGCCAGCGGGTTTGTGATGAGCCATATCTGCTCTTCAGTCTATACGATCATTGCAAGCTGGCCGAACAAGCAATGCGTTTAGAAGCCACAAAGGGCCAAGACATATGTGTCCGCTTATTGTTCCAGTGTATGTTCTTCTGTGAAGATTCTGACAAACTCTTCAATTGGTTAAATGAGGATCTTCACGAAATTGTGGCCAATATCTGTAACGGGCTTACAGAAAAGCTAACCATTGCAGAAACGCTCTGCAAGGTAAACTACAAATATGCACAAATTCTTACAAACAAAGGTAAGACGAAGATCTCTTCAATTCAAAAAATATAAAAACGAATTATTTGTATATTATTTTTTTTACTACCTACTAAAGATATTGCAAAGGCAGTCAATTATTTGCAAACGGCCTTCGATTTGGCTAGAGGCACAAACTGGCTTACGAAGGCGACCGAAGAGATTACTAAGCCCACATCTGATTTTGTTGTTGAGGAATTAGCCAAAACTTTATTAAAATGTGCCTATTTGGAGGATTCAGCAGCAAAGGCCGTAAGTCGGGCAGAACAAGCCTTATTGGCAATTTCCAAAAATGGACAATTCGGAGATGCTTTGCTATTTATAACAATCAATCTGGATTTGGCTTATTTTCTTCTTGAAGATTCAAAGTTTGATAAATGCGTAAAAGCGCTCGATTGTGTTTACCGAAAGTTGACAAATTACGCACCAACCTACGAACCGTATAGACCCGAATTCTGCCGATTTTTAAGCTTAAAAGCGCGATATCTTAATCGGTTGGTCTACTATAGTATTAATCGACACATCCTTGTACCAATTTTTTTTTTTTTCAATTTTTCTCTACTTTTTATTTAAATAGAACAAATAAGAAAGATATGGCGTTGTATATATATAATAAGGCTATTAAATTGGCAGAGAAGCTTGATATGAAAAGAATTTGGGCACAGTGTCTAACTGATATGGCAAAAATTTATCTTGAACACCGTACCTCACAGGCAAGTTTGGCCGAGCAATGTTTACTGAAAAGCCGGGAAATTTTAACCACTTTGAAGGATGTGAAAAATTTAAAACTTTGCAATTATGACTTGGCTCGGGTGAAGTCACGCATGATATATGGCAATTACATGGAGGCTATAAAGAACTCTAGCACATCGCGATGTGAATTCCATCGCTTACTTGAATGGAAGACGCGTTGCAAGCCATTTTGGACTAATAGGGCGAAGGTATTGCAATTAGAACAAAAGAACCCAGTAGCATGTCTTCTACAATCAGAATCCACAGAAAGAACGAAGCTTGAGGCAAAAATAGCAGCAGTTTTCAAACATTTGATATAAACTATACGATCTCTGATGCACGAAAAAATATATTGTAAAGAAATCGCTAAATGCTAGTGCGGCACATACGTGCGTCTCATTTCATTTGATTTCTGCTTTAGCAGATTTGGAGGTGAATCTTTAGTATTTTGGCTATCTTCCATAGGTCATTCAATGTCATCAAATCAGACCGATCAAAAGAACGAGCAAAAGCCGCAAGTCCGCTTAGTGAAAAATAACAGCAGTGGCAATTCTTGGTCACATAGGCAATCGCCTAGAACTTTGTCGATTAGTTTCAACCATCGTACGAAAGGTACGAAAATCATTTAACATTGAAGAGCATAGATAGTTGACAGAATTTACTAATATGAAGTGACAGCTTTATGCAGGAAAAAAATTAAATACTCCGCAGGCTATGGTCTTAACACACCTGCTGTTTTAGATATTGAAAAATAGTGTGTGACAATGTAAGCATTTATCGAGATAATTAAATCAATATTTACAAAACGTCCTCTTTGGAGCATATGTGCAGCTGTGGTACTAAAAAATGTAATCACTCGATGTTATATAGATATTTCATTTAGCAGCAGGATATTATTTTAATTGCAATTGCAAATGAAGGCAAGCAATAATATATTTATAGCAAAATTAAATATAACACGTACGTAACGTATGTACCTTGAACAATAAATTATTTTATAAAAAAAAATTCCGAGCATTTTTTTGAAGAGAAATTTCAAAAAGTGAAAGAAAACTTGTGTTAAAATATAGCGTCAGAGGCAACGTGAACTGGTGTCCCCTTATTCGATAATTGATTTTTTAATTTCGCTTTGATAGAAATCAATAGATTTAATATAATTATTTGTTTATTTATTTGTGTCTTTAGTAAACGATTAATAGGCGAAATAAGATCACTTAATTTAAAATTTGTTTGCTACACAATCTTGACATTCTTCCTTGCAATTAATTATCGTTTGTCGTTGTTGGTAGAGTGCCAGTTTTTCGAAAAGAAAAGCCTTTGCTCTTTCAGGATCCAAGTAAATTTAAATTTATTTTTTTGTTGAAACTAAATTTAACTTGTTAGTCTATTTCGAGCCACCTATTCTATATATTCATGCGAAAAATATCTGAGGAAAGTACATTGAGCAATTGTTTGTGTTCCCATAAATTTTCATATATAGTATAAAAGTAAGAAATAAAACTTTGCTAATATATTTTGGTTTTTTTTTTTTTTTTTTTTTTTTTTTTTTTGTATGTACTTATGTGTGGCATATGTGCTGTTTGTTAATGACATTGACAAATATTCTCATAACAACAGAACGCTTAAATACATTTAAAGAAAATTTGAATATCATGTCTTAAGTACAATGCAGTGAAAGAATTATTATTTCATATATGAACCGTATTAACTCATCTGATGGCAAATACTGCTATCCGAACTCGTTTTGATCCCAGTATATAATGTTTCATTTCGAAAAGTTGTTGAATGAGCAATTGTAGGATGATGTAGGGTATTTAATCGCGAGCCGTGGTCATATCCGTGGGACTGTTCTTACTTAAAAATGAAGTCAAATGTTCTTACGAAAATTGAATTGTTGTTTCATTCCAATAAAAGCCACTCGATCAAATCCCTTAGATACTTCCGTTTTTGGATTTGGACTTTGGAATGTAGATTAAATGATATTTATTTTTTTAAATTCAAATTTGGACCCTTGCGAAAGTAGCTCCAGCTTCAATTGCTAATTTTTTCATATATAATAATTTTTTCAATTCTTGTCAAACATTATCATTTTATAACATTTGCTTCTTGCCAAAGAAAAAATTGTGAAGAAACCTTCCTTCCTTTTTTTGGGGGCTGTTACATTAGTGTATGCGCTTAAGAAAACAAGGCTATATAAATTTTTTAATCAATCCATATTGCAGTTCTCTCTATATCTTCCTTGTTGTATGTCTGTCTCTCGAACAACCGGCCAATGAATAAACGAATCTTTTCATCTCGACCCGATACCTATATGTGAAGTAGAGTAGGTATTAATTTGTACATGGGCCCGACTTAACGACTAATTACTTGGCGAGCGAAGTCTTTTGAGAGAGAAGGAATTTGTTGACACTGAGGAATAGTCGTTCTCCGCTGCGAATTAACATAAGTTGTATAAGAAGTACTTGGGCAGAGATCAGAGATAAAGGTTGGATTTTTTGAGACAAGAAAAGCATTAACAAGCCGGCGGCAAGCAAAGAAGCCCATGTTCGGCTACTGAGCTTAGCAGGCGTACTGTTGCATAGTCCCATCGCAGATGGCCGGGTGAATTTACCCATTATGCGCTGTACTCGTCTGAGATCTTTGCGAAAAGTTTCGGGAATTGTCAAATAGTAAGGAATAAATATTTTACCTGCAATCTCCTAAATGGAAACATGAAAGAAGTAACCGTAACAGGAAAATCTATGGTTAATTCAATTTTCTTTTTACTTGAAACGCTTTTCATTCATTTTGTAAATTTGATTAAATATGGGAGTATCCGGGAAAGCTTTCCCGATATCTAAGAAACGTTTACAGATAATAAATACCAACAAAAATCACATTTTCAGATAACGACGTCTCCTTTCACTTCTTACTATTTAAAAGAGATGTACTTTCGATTTCAAACAACGGCAGAACAAAGGTTGCATTAATGCAATAGAATCTCCCACTGTAACTACAGCAACTACTTGGTGTGCAGTTTTAGAAGAAATTCGAACAAAGGGATGAATTTAATACGTTTAATACGTCAATGCCTATAATAATAATAATAATAATAATAATAATAATAATAATAATAATAATATGGATCTTCTTTTCATGTAATGTTATGAAAATACGTACAATTTTTCTCTCATTGTATTACATAAAGCATTATTTATTTGCTGTTTTCTTACCGTAAGCATTATGCATGTGTATGTGTGCATATATGTATAAATAAAATGTTAAACATTTGTTGAGTAAACAGTAATTATACAAAATTTTTGAAAATAACAATTTTCAATTTATCATTAGCAGACATATATGCATGCACAGCACGCATATATATTGCGTAAGAAACTTTAATTCATAAAATAAAAGTATGTAAAATACTTTCTCTGCATTTATGAGTTGTTGATTATGTACATATTACATAAGCAGTATAGAATGTTGGTTAAAAAAGCCATATGATTATAACCAAATTATTGGATTTTTATACCTTTGCGTATAGATTTGCAAGAATATTAGAAAATCTATTTAAAGTCCTGCATTTAAAGTTCAATTGCTCAAGCATTTGATTGTAAATTGTTCTGTTTTCATCCACATACATATATGGAATATATTTAAAAATGAGAAATGCTTACTATGAATAATTGCTTACAAGCGCTTATGTATACGAGTTTTTGTGCACTTCAGGCAGAGTTATATGCAAAAATTACTCATTTATTTAAGACATTTTAAGTACACCTTAATATATGTTAATATGCATATGACAGTCTTATATTTACATTTCAGTTTACAAAATATGAATGCGAGTAAAAACATTAATATCCATGTAAAATATCCTGTCATATGGACGAATATTTATATGATCTTTTAAGTTGTCTGAAAATCCAAAAAATGTTTTGCTATAGCATAACAAACATATACATCATTTCTATATACGGACATCAAACATTATATTTACGCTATTATGGGTCATGGCCCATCAATGATTATTCTACATAGTCTTCGAATCATTTATATAGCTACTTTTCAAAATAAACCGTTATATTGGAAGCGGTCGAGAATATTGCACTAACAATAGCGCTGGTGCTTGGGTGAAAACATGCCACTGCAACAAATTCCAGCAGAGAGACGGGTAGGCAAGCTTAGTCGCTTAGCTCGATGCAATGAAGAAGTAAAAACATTATACTCGGATAAGGTTGACACTCCGCACCACATCGGCCAGTGTAATTATTCACTTATTTTGGTAATTATACACCAGAAATTGCACATAATTTTCACAGAAAAGCTTAGCTTACTCTCCGTGAAAGCCTGCATATTTTGGAGAATATCGAAAACATTACATGGCACGATTCAACTTTAGCAAATTAATTTATCTCCTAAATATTTTATTATATATCAGCTTCGAACCTTATGGTCGTGCTAGGCCGACCCCTACATCAATCTTTAAAAATCCCAAAAATAAGCCGAGATGGTCCTAATTTGGTACAATTAATTTTTTTTATTTTAAATTACAATTATGATCCGATTTTCATCATGAAGCATTTAAAAAGACCTGGACTTTTTTTTATATGCATTTCAGTTTTTTATTCAAAAATTACCCAAGCAAACAGAAATCGGAAATACTATTACTTAGCCACTTTTGTTGAGGAATACTTTCCATACAATGACTTTTCAAAATAACTTCGAATGGAGAGCGGGCGAAAAGTCCTTGCATTTTTTGTGATTGTGGTTCATAAGTAACGAACAAACCCCCAATTTTTGTGTTAATTTTTGAAAAGATAAGTGACCTTACGTTATATTGTACTGTGGGTAAACACTTTGACCGATTTGGTTTAATTTCAATACGCACCCAAGAGTTTCCAATGCTTCCGTCGCCGAACTTGAAGCAGAGTATTTCCTAATTATTCCCTTTTTGCGAACAAGAGAATGTTTACTACAGCATTCTTAGAGACAGACGAAAAGACGTGTTTAAAGCGGTTTAGAAGTCGATGCTGACCCAGAATGCCTCTGAAGCTTTTTTTTTGATTTTGCAAAGGCTTTGATAAAATGAATAATAAATTCATTTCCATCTTTCGTTGATGGGTGTAAAAGGAAAGATTAATATATCCTCAATAATTGCCTGATTTTCGACCTCTGAGTCTGTCTCGCAGGTGTTATGGCAAATTGTGGAAAGCTGTTTTAAAGGCTTTGGCAAATAAAAAATTTCTTATCAAAGAAATCTAATGGACTCAGATAAATCACTAAAAAATGAACTTGCTTATCAATCGGTTAATTAAGCATCTACTAATACATACAA